GTTGGTAAATTCCTACCTTTGATAATTTTGCAGTGTAACTTACAATCTAAAAAAAAAAAAACCAGCCACTTTTGCATAAACCTGAAAACGTCGAGCAGGTCAGACATAGGGAGCCGTGCATCATTTTGCAGCACAGCTGAACTGTTTACTGTGGCCAGAAGGACTACAAATATAAGACAGCTAACACAACAGGTTAAAACTCTGTGTAAGAGTAGGAATCATACAATCATCAGTCAACTCATATCATTTTCTTAGAGTCTCAACACAAAATACTGAACTCGGCAGGCATTCGGCAATGAGAAAAATGGGAAAACAATCCAATAACCTCAGTAAGACAGTCAGTCAGGACAGACACTGTTTTGAACCCTTCTTTTTTTAAAGAGCAATATTTTACACTTGTATTATGAAGCGGCAGTCTGCGATAGCTGGCTGACATTTCTAAGACGTCTCGTTTTGACACTTAGATAAACAGATGAAAGCATCAGGAAGATGGAAGCAGCAGGAAGTGTTTGGTGTTTTTGCACAATAAATTCTCTTAAAGTAAACAACTTCCCTTTAAACCCTAAGCTGCAACCATTTACCACCCATGTGGAAGCAGGGAGGAAAGCAACAAGATTCCCCAGGTCTTATAAAATGTACATGTTAAGCTGTTATTTACCCACAAAACCGCTCCATTTTACTTACTTTTTTATATTTCTAATATTTGTTTTGCATGTGTAAACAAGGAAAAACCTAAAGGATCAGAATGTAATGCATCAGCTCCATGTGTTTCTAAAGTATTCACCCCTCCTCCTGCCTGCTCATACAGAACATGTCGTGTCCCCACTCTGTCGGACTGCAGGTTTTTTGGATTGCTCTGCATCACTGTGGTCACTGCACAGCTGTGATTTGCCATGAGTGTAAGAGTGTAATGCAGAGTCGGCTCTGTAAGCCTGCATGGTGAGAGAACAGCGGCTGTTTTTAGTACTTGTCTGGAGTGGCCCCGGGGATCCGGCTGTCTGAAGAAGGAGTCCGGCAGCTTTCTCATCCTCATGGGGAGAGATGAAGGCTGTTTGGCCGCGTTAGGGTTCATCACCGCCGTGAAGAGGGCCTCCAGCTCCGTCTGCGAGTCCCCGCGGACGTGCACGATCTGCTGCCCGGCCGGAGGCGCGCCACGGTGCGCGTCCATGTCGCCAAAAGTTTACTGTCGAAACAAATCTGTCGAAAAAGTGAAATAACGTAAACAAACAAGGAGAGAAACCCCCCCACCGGGCCCGCTGAGACTAGATCCGTCAAAGTGCTGGAGTTATGATCGGATTTGTTTACACTTTTTGCCCACCAAACCCCCCCCTCCCCAATCACCACCAACACCACCCCATTTGAACTTTTGCGTCGTTGTGGCTCTTTTCCAATCTCTAATGTCTCGGAAGTAAATCAGATGTGAACAGATTGCCAATCATTCTGTAAAGAAGTCGAAAGATCGCATTTTAAAGCACGGATCTCAGAGCAAACTCAGTCTTAGCGGTGGACAACATGCCTCCCACATACCTTTAAGCAGCCAGACCGTTTCCCCCCTCTCTCTGTATTCCTGCAGAGGAAAAAAATAAGTCGGAGAAATCTCAGCCGGGAAAACAGTCAGGAAGACACCCAGGTTTGACGCAAAGTCTCAGCCGAAAACCTCCCAAAGTAAAAGAATAAACGCATAAATGGAAGCTGGTAGGAGAAGAGTGGTTTCTGCGAGACCTCCAAACTTTTTTTTTTTTCACATCCAGCTTTCAGTCTAGATTCCCGTGATAGTGCGAAGGGGCGGGGTTGCAGGCTTTAAAGCTGCCGCAGTTGCAGGGGAAATACTTCACTCCTAGGACAGACGTGTGAACTATCAATAAGAAGGAACAAAAAACGACTTTGAGTTTTTTTAACACCTCCACTTGGATCATGTGAGTCACTTTCAGCCCTTACAATGGACGGAAATGAGCGTCATTCTACTTTCTGCCTAGATTTTTGATTCCAGTTTGTGCGGTTTTCCAGTGCAGCTGATGAAAGTAGCACAGCGCCAAATGCGGAGAAGGGGGGAGGTGGGAAAGAGACAAGCGCAATAATATACTTTCAGGGGATAGGTGGGTGGGGGATCACTTCTTGAGTCCGGGCCTGGGTCTCGTCTGGTTTGGGGGTTGGGTGGGGAAATTGGGAAGTTGTACTGAGAAAACATCCGCCCCTGATGAGGCCAAGCCAGCCGGAGCCTGTTTGTCCCGTGCAGGCAGGCAGGACACAGCGCCTGCCTCTAGTGGAAAACACGCGCTACAGTGAGCTCAGAGCTCAGCTGGCCAACAGATTGAATTCAAGAAAAATGTCTTTCTGGACTGCAGTGCGTCCACTAATTCAGTTCAGTATAACCCACCAAAGGCAGCAGCTCATACGGGGGGCGCCCGAGTCTTATATTAGCTAATAAACTTTGACTTGACGACTTATTGATCTGAATAAATGCTTGACTTTTTAATTTTAAAATAGTGAAAAAGTTAGTTTGAACTCATGCCTCATGAAAAATGTAGGCCAATTACCTGGTTGAGCTTTTAAAAAAAAAAAAAAAAAAAGTTAAAACAAATAAAAAAGTATTTTTCCATTCTGATTGTTTCTGTAAGCACATTTTTATTTACTTCATAATGTTTTACAGTCAAGCACTGGAGATGTTTTAGGTTTTTTCTGCATCGATCACCTTTTAGAAACCAGTTTGTTTACCTTCAATCCAGTCTGATTAAAACACTGATGGAGTTATTAGGCTGTGTAAAGTTATATATTATCAAAATATATAGTTTGGCTTATATATTGTGTGTGTCCCCCCCGTTTAGTCATTACTTTAGAGAAGTGTATACAATTTGAGGCCCATTATTTTACCAGTGAAGTACAAAGATAGCAGCATGGTGTAACACATACGTTTACCACTGTGAGCACTAAAGTGCTGTGACGGCCTCCTGTCTGTATACATGGGCAAGTTGCATAAGCTGAAGGTGAAGAAAAGGTCAGCAGACACTTTTCAGACACTCTGCCCTCTCACAGACACTCACAGGCTCAAATATCTGCGAGTCCCACTTTGCTGGCTAAACTGAGTGACCTGCACTGCTTCCATGTGAAATAAAAGTGTAAGAAGTGTAAGTATTAGCCAGGCGAATTAAATGCACTTGATTCACTGATAACCAGTAAGTGCGGGCAACTCTAAAAAAAGCAGATGTTTTTGACAGTTTGCTGGTCTGGACCATTCAGGTATGTTTTAACACTACGCTGCTATCTTCCCAGGAGTGGACGCCCCAGCAAATTCACTCCAAGGTCAGACAGTGAAAGGCTCAGAGGAAGGGTAAAAAACCCCTAGAGCTACATCTCACACTCTACAGACCTCAGTTAGTAGGTTAAATGTTAAAGTTCATGAAGGTATGACTGAAAAAGGCTGAACAAGCATGACTTTTTCGAGGGTTTGCAAGGAAAAATCGTCTTCTGTTTAAAAGAGTATGGTAGCACAGCTTAGGTTTTACAAAGCTGGATCTGAACAAACAATAAGACGTCCTTTGTACAAATTAGCCTAAAATAGAGATATTTGCACATTAGCACAAACACTTCATATTAAAGGTCAAGCGCGGTGGTGGAAGGGTGATGCCGCAGCACCTGGACACCTCATTGAGTCAATCATGAGCTCTATAGATCACGTGAAGCCATCTTTTTGACAGCTAAATTAGGTCAGAAAACAGGACAATAATCCCAAGTACAGCAGCAAATGGCTGAAAAAGAAAATAATCAAAGTGCTGCTGCAAAGTCCAGACCTCATTTTCATTAAAATGCTGTGGTAGGACTTTAAGACAGCTGTGCATATACAAATATCTGCAAACCTCAATGAACAGAAGCAAATAATGGATGAAAATTCCCTCCAAGCAATGTGAGAGACTGTCACACCGAAAGCCTCAAGGTATTGCTGCTAAAGATTGTGTTCTTACTTTTTCACAGCACTGCACAGACTGTTTTTAAATGTTTTAAATGTCAGGCTTAGGACATCACTGTCACTCATATTGAATTTTCATAAAATCAAATTCATGAACTGTTCTAAGCAAGAATAAAGTTACAGGATTGTTTTCAGTCCAGTGTCTGATTATTTTTTTAATTCATACATTAAGATGTTTTCGATTGTTTTATGTGTCTGAGGTTTCAAAGCAGGATGCTTAAAACATTCAGATCAGTGGACCTTACCATAAATGCAATGTAATACACAGCACTACGCATTAGATGGCAGTGTCTCACCTTGACACCTGAAACGTGCAGCGCGTTGGGTTTCACGTCTCATTACTAGACGGAATGTACAAAAGGAGGAGCGAAGATTCGAGGATCGTTTCTCCAGTCTTTTGATTGCTGTCTCAGATCAAATCATCTCCACATGCGGTTTTTAATCCGCAGCGTTTCTCTGCCAAATCAGCGGGCATGACTACAGCGGTCACGCACAGGCAACTTATCAGGTGCCTATTCACGCCACAAACAAAGCGGGTAAAGAATTGCTCTCAGAGACACAAACTGGTTTGGAAAGACAGGACTTGGCTTTGGAGAGTATTCAAAAACGTTAAAAATGGTTAAGATTGAAACCAGAATTTAAAAAAAAGTGTGAAACGAAAGCAATATAAAACCTATGTGGTGACAGCTGTTGGTTTATTTTTGATTATTTAGGGAATATTCTGGGAAACACATTTTGTCGCTGGTTCACCTCCAGAATGTTAAACAGCTGCGTTTTATGGGAAGTCGTGCGCTGGAACAAAGGAGGTAAAACAGTTGGTTTTAGGTGGATTTTGTTACAGACACAGCCAGGGTAGCTATTTCCCTCTGGAGCTTGTTAAACACAATTATTATTCTCATACATCTCATGTCGGATAAATATCATGCTACAGCTGGTTGGCCTTTCAAAGGCAACAAGCCAGATAATCAGTCAGTCTGGCCACACAAACCAGTAAAGCCACAGAGTGCATGTTTACATTTTGGCTGTTATGATATGGGGCGCCGTTTGTAAAGTGAAACATGCTAAAATTAACGGCAACACTTTTCCACATTTAGCTCAAAACAAGTCATTTTTTACAACATTTAGTAAAATATTTGTAACTTTTCATATTTAAAACAGAATTTTAAATGTTAAATCAAAATGTTAAATATTCAATCTAAATGTTAAATCTAAATATTATATTTAAATCTAAATGTTAAATGTTAAATCTAAATATTATATTTAAATCTAAATCTAAATGTTAAATCTAAATGTTAAATGTTAAATCTAAATGTTTAGGCTAACATGCAAATTTATTGCACGGATCAGCGGAAATACCAAAATAAAAGCATTCCGAAAACCTCCGATGCAAAAGTGTGCCGGTAGTGGTCAGACACGTTCTCACTCCCAAAGCGTAATAATTTTCGCTAGGTGACAAATTGTCAACATTTTATGCTTTCGGGTACCCAACAAGTTCCTAAATTAGGCATCGGAAAAAGGAGAGCACGTGAGAACCATTTGGACTCAATCTACGCATGTTCTTTCATTTTCTAAAAATCGCTTTGGAAAACACTATTTTACGTCATTTAACTGCTAGTAAAGGTTAGGAATAAGGTTATAGTTAGGGATAAGGTTAGGTTTAGGGCTGCAACACATGGCTGGAATTAGGGCTGGGCGATATATCGAGTTTTTTTTTTAAAAATATCGATATATTTTCATGCGAGATATAAGATGTGACAATATCGTTTATATCGATATAGTCTATGTTACGTTATAATTATACTTGTGGAGCCGCAGGTTTGCCTCTCTTTCGTCAACTTTTGTCTCTACGCTGCGTTACTCGGCCTCACCTCTCCTTCACTGAACACAACTGCCCCTCCGCCATAGCTTCATCTGCAGGCAATGACAAGATGAAAGCGGAAAATCTCCGTTAGCGAGTTACCGCGGATCGCCCCGTGCGTGGGGCTGGACGGCGTCAACGTGTTAGCGAGCTAACCGGGCTGCACGGCCTAAAATCCTTTCATTTTCTCAAAACTCGACAGTGCGCCCTATGTATGCATTCTGGTTGTGCTTACTGACCGCGAACCGATTTTATGTGGTACACAGCTCTCAGCAATCTGTCAAAAAATGTTTTAATATGACTTTGCTAAGCTACGGAGCTGCACCGCTTGATGGATTGTCGGATGATTACGGCTACCGAGGAGGAGCCTCGCGGAGTGATACGTACTGTGCTTCAACGTAATATTACCATACTGTGTTTGTATAAGGACCACAAATGGCACCTGTTCAGAGACGTGGTGCAGCTGTGAAATCTTGTAAATGACCTCATTAATATTTGGTAAAGTGTTTTGTAAACTTATGAGTGGCTATTATATTGTTGGAGTGAATGCTTTTATTTTGAAAGTCACAGAGCGACAAGGTGCCGTAAATCAAGTGGCGTAAACCATATGGCAGAAGCGCGAGTTTTAATGCACAGAGAGAAGGTGTGCTCTATGGTTAATGGACGGGAATGGGAAAAAGAACGGCTATTAAGGTGCAACACTGAGTCGAAAGCAGTTTCTTAGCACCTGGTTGATGAGGGAACAAGGTTTGTAACAAAGTTTGTCCTGTAGATATGTATTTTGTTGTTTTACGGAGCATATAGCTGCTGACCGCTACTAAGCATAAAGGCTAAGTTTTCACCCACTAGAGGGCGCTAACGTACCTCGTCATGTTTAGGCAGCGATGCAACGATTTCCCTGTTATATGCAATAATTTACAAGTTTTAGTGTTATTTGTTATGTAAGGTAAGGAGAATTAATTTGTGATTAATGAATAAGTCAAAAGGTTAAAGGTAACACACTGTTTGATTTACTAATAGTCTTTTATTCTGTATGTTGTAGCTCTTACGGTGTGTTCACATACACGGCTGTTTAATAAAAGGATTGTGAACCATCAGTTTGAGAGACCATCTTTTCAACCGGGGATGCTACAAATCTGTCTCTTTGTTATTATGCTCAGCGTCTGTTAGTTTACATTTTGACTGCACAATTGTGAGCTTTTTCTTATGCCAAAAAGAACATAGTTTTCTTTTATTTATGGACCATGATTATTTAATAAATGCTGATAATTTATTTTTGAGTAATTTTTTCATGTACATCTACGCTGTATGTAAATAAAAGTGCCCGTGTGACATCTGGGACACAGTGTGACTAAGAACTCTCTTTTTGTTATTAACTTATTGCTTTAAAAAAAAAATATCGAGATATATATCTTATATCGCCATCCAGCTAAAAAATATCGAGATATGAATTTTGGGTCATATCGCCCAGCCCTAACTCAAAGACAAGTATCTTTGACAGTGTATATATAGATGTATTATATATAAGAGACAAATATTGTTCATTTAATATGTTGGCATTACTAAATTTGGCTCAATGTTTACATATACGTATAAAAAGAAAATGTACAAGCTGTGATAACTGTGTCTGATAGAATGAAGAGTAGACTGATATATTAAATATTCCTTTATTGGGTGA